ATTTCCAGGCTGTTTCCAGGCCATTTCCAGGCTGTTTTGAACAGTCCTCTCTTGACAGGGCGAGAGATAATCACATCACCTGTCTCCGGTTTACAACACAGTCCTTTCAGCTGTTCCAAGAAGGCTCCACACCCATTTGCACTATCCAAGAGACCCTAGGGGCACAGATAAACCTCCAAGTGGCCTCAACAACTCAAGAGGGAGTGCAAGGAATGTACATCCTCCCATTCCCCAACATTCCGCCAGAACTGAAGAAGCTTCTTGGATGAGAAGCGAAACCCCTTCAAGGAAAAAAAAATAAAGGAAATCCAGTTACCGCTTGGAAAAGCACCTTTGGGTTAGGCTAGAAGACCTTTGAGGTCCCTCCCAGCTCTAGGATTGTCCGTTCTGTGTAGCTCACCTGTGAAGAAGCTTCACTGCCACTGTTGGGAAACCCGTCCGAGGGGCCGCGGGCTTTTCTACTAAACCAGCTGGTAGAGCTTAATCATTTTCTACCTTGTAGGCACTTGCCACTGTAACCCCTATGGCTCCTACGGAGGGAGCTGCGATCCCAGCACAGGCCAGTGCTCCTGCAAACCCGGGGTCGGGGGATTGAAATGTGACCGCTGCGAACCCGGGTTCTGGAACTTCCGTGGCATCGTCACGGACAACAAGAGCGGCTGCACCCGTGAGTACCTCTGGTTGCCACCTGGGTGGGAAAACGCTGGGGGTGGTAAAGCCTGTTTCATCTGTCCCGTTCAGGGTAGGAGACGAGCAGGCAGAGTGGGAGGTGGTGGAGTTAAGCGGGTATCTAGCCTGGAATCTTTAAATTGTCACAAACGTCTCAGTCCAATTTCTCTTGAACTCCATTGCTCTAGTGCCACGTATGGGCTGAGCAATAAGTCTTATCGACAACTTAACAGGGGCGCGACGGGTCAGTGGCTGAGACGCTGATCTTGTCGATCAGAAAGTTCGGCAGTTCAGCGGTTCGAATCCCTAGCCCTACATAACGGAGGGAGCTCCCGTGACTTGTCCCAGCTTCTGCCAACCGAGCAGTTCAAAAGCACGTCAAAAATGCAAGTAGAAAAATAGGGACCACCTTTAGCGGGAAGGGAATATCGTTCTGTGCTGAGGGGCCACAACACTCAGGAGGGCTGCGTACGGGCCCCCTGGGCTCCATTTTCGCTGGGTGAGACTGTCCCAGCCGAAAATGTGGTCTGGGACACCCCCCGAGGTTGGGGGGCCCTGATGCGGCTCTCAATGAAATCGAGTTTGACACCCCTGTTCTAAAAAAAAGTTTGGGGTACGGAGGGTGAGAATCAGACCCCAGTTTAAGGAAAACGCTTCCGAGTCTCAGCTGAGATTAGCTTTTGATTATTTTTTTTTATTCCTTCCTGGGCCTGATAGCAGAACAAATGAGGCTCCGTTTTCTCATTGTCTCCGTCCTGCCTGTGGGGCAGAGAGCATGGATGGAGGCGCGATGTGGAAATGAGTTCTCACCCGCCATCCTCCAGTCTCCCGGGCTCCCGAGCGGGAGGTCAGTTCGCACACGCGGCACCTGCCAGAGAAGTCATTATCAAACAGATGATAACCAGGAGCCCATTTTCAAAAGATCAGACATTGGTGGGGGTGGCGGTGTTTGAATATCCGTCTGCGTGTTTTTTAATTGAAAGCCGCGGCAAAGTTAATGTTTATTAAAAACAAACCCAGAGCTGGCCGGCGGACAGAGAAACCTCAAAACCCTGGGATAAAATTAGCAGAGAAGTCCGATCGTGATTCCGCCGCAGTTTAGTTCGTGGGAGATTTCGACTCCAGATAATCCTCATCATTTAGTTTTTTTTAAAATGTTTTTATTCCTGGCACATTTTCAGTTTTATGACAGTCCATCTCATTCCTTTTCCTTCCCTTCTCCTTTTCCCTTTCCTTCCCTCTTTCCTTCTCTCTCACCTCTCTCCTTCCCTCTCCTCCCTTTTCCTCTCCCCTCTCATCTCCTTCACTTCCCTCTCTTCTACTTTTCTCCTCCCCTCTGCTTCTCCCTCTCCTTTCCTCTTCTCCACTTCCCTCTCCTTCTCTTTCTTCTACTTCTCCCCTTCACTTCCCTCTCTCCTTTCCCCTCCTCTCCTCTTCTCCACTTTCCTCTCCTTCTCTTTCTTCTACTTCTCCCCTTCACTTCCCTCTCTCCTTTCCCCTCCTCTCCTCTTCTCCACTTCCCTCTCCTTCTCTTTCTTCTACTTCTCCCCTCCCCTCTCCTTTCCCCTCTTCTCTCCTCTTCTCCACTTCCCTCTCCTTCTCTTTCTTCTAATTCCCTCCACTTCCCTCTCTCATTTCCCCTCTCCTCTCCTCTTCTCCACTTCCCTCTCCTTCTCTTTCTTCTACACCCCTACACTTCCCTCTCTCCTTTCCCCTCCTCTCCTCTTCTCCACTTCCCTCTCCTTCTCTTTCTTCTACTTCTCCCCTCCCCTCTCCTTTCCCCTCTTCTCTCCTCTTCTCCACTTCCCTCTCCTTCTCTTTCTTCTACACCCCTACACTTCCCTCTCTCCTTTCCCTCTTCTCTCCTCTTCTCCACTTCCCTCTCCTTCCCTTCCTCCTACTTCTCCCCTCTCCTCTCCTTTCCCCTCTCCTCTCTCCTCTTCTCCACTTCCCTCTCCTTCTCTTTCTTCTACTTCTCCCCTCCCCTCTCCTTTCCCCTCTCTCCTCTCTCCTCTCCACTTCCCTCTCCTTCCCTTCCTCCTACTTCTCCCCTCTCCTCTCCTTTCCCCTCTCCTCTCTCCTCTTCTCCACTTCCCTCTCCTTCTCTTTCTTCTACTTCTCCCCTCCACTTCCCTCTCTCCTCTCTCCTCTCTCCTCTCCACTTCCCTCTCCTTCCCTTCCTCCTACTTCTCCCCTCTCCTCTCCTTTCCCCTCTCCTCTCTCCTCTTCTCCACTTCCCTCTCCTT